GTCCATGTGGGCTTCAGTATCTGTCAAGTTTGACTGAAATAATGGTCTACTGGAGTTTTAGGTCTCCAGGTGTAAATTCATGAAAACACCCAAACAAGTAGCAATAAGATTAACAGTGAACAAAGTACAGTATGGCAACATCAGACATGGTTTTGTATTATATGAAGGTTTGGATTCAAGTGGGTCCCCTATCGAATGAACAGCTGCCTGGGCTGTGGGACAATCTATGATGAGTGAGTTCCATGAATATATGTGTCCTAAATCTGGCCCATAACTTTTATGGGATGTAGACAAGATTGCAAATTTATAAAAAATAGATGTTGGCTTGGGGCTAGATAGAAAACTCTAGAGTAGTTCAAACTTAGTCTTGAGTACTTGTGATATATATATATTTTCTATTATTGCAATAGAGGAATTATCTCCAGTTCTGTCTGGGTTGTTACAAAAGATACTAGATATTGGATGTGGTGGAAGCTCCTCCATTGCACAGGTAAATGAGTATTTAAATACCAAATTTCCTTTGTGTTTCATTGAGACATGAAAAATACTGCCTAGCTATAATTTGAAGTTGAAAAACACATTGGCTGCAAATTAGCGTGGATATGTGATTCTTGTTCCTTTTTTAAATATTTTAAAATTAAATTAATTTTTGTATTTTATTATAAACAATAGTGTTAGCTTTACAAACCTAGTCCTAGTTAGAATAAGCGTATCATAAATTTAATTTTCTTCTTGAGTATTTTTTCATTTTTTCAAATTAATATGAGGGTACAATTTTTAGGTTACATTGTGATTCTTGTTTCTTTTGTCACAGTTCTCATAACAGGAAGTTCTTTGAGTCAATGAATGTTAGTTGTCAATGGGGTAGCTCCATAGAGGTGTATAGAGATTCACATGTAAGTGATGTTTTTTACCTTCAAGTTTTAGGTGGAAGTTATAAAGAATTATTGCCAAGTCCCCAGACCAAGCTAACTTATGAAGTCATTTTCTGTTTGATAACATAAGATGAATGATTTATTTCAATTCAGAAAGACTTGGCTGCTGGCTTTGAGCTCAAAAATTGCAATAAATTAAAAAAAAATTTAAAAAATCTGATAAATTTGCAATACATTTGGCTAATCCATGGCTAATCCTTTTATTAGCAGGAATATATGAACCTTAAAGAGGAGAAAAATCACAGAAGAATGAAGGAATCACCTTATGTATCTACTAAAGAAAATGTATAGTGAAAACACTACAATATTGTAGTGTTAAAAAAAAGGAAAACAAAAACACCATGGAGAAGCAAAATGGCACAATGAACTACAGGGCCAGATAGATTCTTTGGTGAATTCTAGAGAACACTGAATGAAGAAACAAATTAATTATTTTAATTCTACATAAATATTTTCAGGGTAGAACATCCTTTGAAACTAATTCTTTGAGGCCAGAATTTCTCTGATACAAAACCAGATGAAAATATTGCCAAAAAGGGATACCATAGACCAATAGCACTTATGTATGTACAGATAAAAAATACAACCCCGTAATTTTAGAAAGTTGTGATGGCTGAATATTTGTATGTTCCCTAAGTTCGTGTGTTGATACTATAACCCCTGATGTGATGTCATTAGGTGGTAGGGCCTTTAAGAGATGAGTTGATCATGAGGGCTCAGCTCTCACATGGAGTTAGTGCCCTTATCTTAGAAGACTTTCCTTTCTCTCTTCTGTCTTCCACTGAAGATAGAAGGAGGAAACATTTGTCTGTAAGCCTGGAAAAGAGTCATCATGAAATATCAGATCCCAGCAGGTTGATCTTGGACCTCACTGTTTCCAGAATGGAGAGATAAAGAAATTTGTTGTTTAAACCACGTGGTTTATGGCATTCTGTTATAGCAATCAAAACTGCCTAAAGAACAATCTATCTCACATTGCATGAAAATAATACACAATGACCAACTTGACAGTATTGTGTAATTAAGGGTGCTTGAATATTTAAAAAGTTATCACTATAATTTTCTAGGCTAGGAGGGTAAAAAGAAAGATATTATATAGGCAAGACAAATTACAACATCTGTTCCTAACAAAACTTTGGACATTTCGGGAATAAAAGACACTTCTTAAACTTACAGTTAATAATGAAATACTGAAGGGTTTCCCCACCAAAGATCAAGGAGTTTTATTCTCACTACTTCTATTCTCATTGTGCTGGTGTTTCTCACTAGTTCTAAAGGGCAAGGTAAAAAGGTGGGGGGTCAAAAAGTTTCAAAGTACCAGTTGCTGGTGAGGATGTGGATAGTTAGGAACACTTTTGCACTGTTTTATGGACTGCAGACTATTCTAACCTCTATGGAAAGTAGTATGGATATACAATAAAGAACTACAAGTGGACCTACTATGTGATCCAGCAATCCCACTAGTAGGTATTTATCCAAAGGAACAAAAAGTCATTTTATCATTAAGACACCTGCACTTGAATGTTTATAGTGTCACAATTCACAATTGTGAATATGTGGAAAGAATCCAATAGCCCATCAATTCAAAAATGGATTAATAAAATGTGGTATATGTACAACATTGAATACTACTCATCCATAAAAAATGGTGACCTACTGTCTTTTGTAACAGCCTGGATGGAATCAGAGACAATTCTCCTAAGTGAAGTAATCTTGTGATACTAATTTGGAACTGGTTATTCACCGTTTATGTACACACATGGAAGTAAAACTCAACAGATTTCAAGTACATACAGAGGAGAGGATGGGTAAATTTACACCAGACATGTATAGTGCACACTGTCAGGGTGAAAGGCACACTTGTAATTTTGACTTACAATATACAAAAGCTAACTATGTAACCAAATAAAAAAGGGCTGGGGCAGGGGGATGTGGATTAAAAGCAAGTTTTATTGATAGACGAGAAGAAGTAGTATACTAGGTTGTGCAGCTCTGTGTTTGCTAAATGAATATGAATAAAAATTAAATCAAAACATTTGATCTTTAAGTCTCTTGCCCACCCTGCGACGGGATCACTTGTTCTCTTCTTGCTACTATGCTTGAGTTCTCTGTGGATTCTGGTTATAAGACCTCTGTTGGAAGCATATCCAGCAAATATCTTTTCCCATTCTGAGGGCTGTCTACTTACTTTTCTTACTGTGTTCTTGGCTGTGCAGAAGCTTTTTAACTTGAGGAGGTCCCAGTAGTATATTCACAATCGCTAGGTCATGGAGGAAGCCCAAGTGCCCATCAACCCATGAATGGATCAATAAATTGTGGTATATGTACACCATGGAATACTATACAGCCACAAAGAAAGATGGAGACCTTGCCTCCTTCATATTTACATGGATGGAGCTGGAAAATGTCCTCCTTAGCAAAGTGTCTCAGGAATGGAAGAAAAAGTATCCAATGTACTCAACACTACTATGAAACTAATTGTTAGCTATCTTAGGAAATCTACAATCCAAATGGAGCCTTAGACTACGGGGAAAGGGGAGGGGGAGGGGAGGGGAGGGGGAGGATGGGTGAAGAGAATGATATTGTGGGGATCATGCCTATAGTTTATTCTATTTGGGTACAGGTGAATTTGTCTAAAGGTTGAATATAAATGTCTTAACATAACAACTATGAGAAAGACATGATGGCTATGTTAGCCACCTGGATGAGAGTTTTCCAAACTGCATATAGAAGTAACACACTGTATCCTATGAGAGAATTAATGTACACAATTATGACCTAATAAAAAAAAACAAAGGAAAAAAAAACATTTGATCAGTATGGCACACTGATATTTTAGCAGCTTTATAGCATGCTTTATTTCCCACTTTCCCCAGCATTGTATTGGTTGCTATGCCATTGCATCTCTGCCTTACTGAGAATGAACAAATCATTGTTTCCTTGGCAAAAGAAAATTTATCACTATAGTGTATATTTTCTTGATCACCATTAAATATGAAGATCTTTTCATTTTACTTTATATACAGTATTTACTATTTATGTCTTTTTTCCCTTGAGAAATACTTGTTCTTTGCCCATTTTTGTGTTGAAGTATAATTTTATCTCGATGATGTGTATAAGATATCCACACTCAGACATATGTGTACACGTTGAGGTCATTTGTCAAGTCTGTTGTCCTCCGATATTTGATAGTTATAATATATATGTTTTTTATTGAGTCATATACAATAGATCATGAATACATTTATGCATATGTGGGGTACAATGTGTTTTTTTATACAATCTGACGTGCTTGCATCAAACCAATCAACATAGCTTTATAATATTTATAAATGAGTCATCTTAGTTTAAAACTTGAAGGCAGAAACAATACAAAGGAAGAAGTCCAGAATTTTATTACTAAAAGGAAATGATTCTCCCCACTGAAGGGGCATAATGTAGGGGTGTACGGCACACTGTTTTGGGTACAAGACAAAACTACAAGAGGGACTCTACCAAACAAAGTCAAGTAATGCGATTTGGTTGTTTGTATCCTCACATTTACCTGAAAAAAAAAATTAAAAAAAAAGAAACCATAATCATAATTCTTTTGATTCTATTTCTAGAGAGGTAATTAATAACAATGATTGCAAAATCTTTGAATGTGTAAGTTGTTGTTGGTGCCAAATTTCGGTAACTAAGTGCTAATGGTTATGACTGGAGGTTGCATTGGCTCTTACTATTTAGATGACTGTAGTTTTATAACAGAGTCCAGCATATGCTTCATCAGAGATGTATCAGCTGCATTGTCATTTCATGATGCTCCTTGTTCATAAATCATCTCGGATTTTACTAATATCTAGATGAATTTGGAAGTTTGCAATTTCTTTCCAAAGCAAACTATTTCTTGGTGGAACTACCAAAACTCAGAAATTATCTTGATGCAATTCATTTATTTAGTGCTATCATTATAAGGGGCATCTATCTGTCTATTATTTTTTTACCTAGTTTGCAGGTATATATTAATTATCTTCATTTTTCACTATTTTACTCTGCCTTTGATAAAGTCTAGGCAAAAGAAACTCCTTAAAACTGTGTTATTTTCATGCAAGTATCTTCTTGATTTTCTTTTCTTGTTCTTTTTCTGCTGAAAAATAAAAAGAGAAAAAAAATCAAGACACAAAACAGAAAGTAGGTATAGCATAAGTATATTTATCCTGCATGTCTAAGGATAAGCCGAGCCTCTCTCCCCCAGTTCTGTAACCTGAAGCCCTTTGGAATTTGAATCATTGTGCTGGGAAAGGCTCTGAAACCTCTGCATACCTGGGAAAGCAGCACTGAATATTGCTACTCTCACCATTTCATCCTTAGCCTTTTGACTAATGACACATTTGCAAAATCCAAGGGTGAAGAAAGTTCTTTAAATCTAATTCATTCTTTTCACCTCTTTTAATTGTTTTCTTCTATTCTTAAATGCTATCTCCTCACAATTTCCATTGCTGGTGGCTGCAATTTGAATAAGTCTCTCAGGTATCCCAAGATCAATACCCTTTAGATACATTATTACCTTTACAAAGAAGATTTTGGTGTCTGCTCTAGTCCCTCAATTCTTCCTTGATTGAAGCAATAATCAAATATGTATCTATGAGGCCATCTTATTTGCTTCCCTACAACATATCCTAAGTCCACTGGGCTGATGGGTGCTAAAGTCAAGGGATGAGAACGAGGCATTTGTGTCTTAGCAGATTTATGAAAGAAGAAGATTATGTATTTCCCATAAGGGCAGAGAGTATGTGCCATTCACAACAGGGGTAATTTGAGTGTTTTCACCACTAAAGGTAATGAGATCACATGATCTCAGAGGTGATGAGGTGATCTGTAAAATCTAGATTCCTTTGAGGGGACTTACTTCCGTGTGGGTAGAGGTGAGGCTGACACTGAACTAAAGACAGGGGGACCAATAGAAATAGGTCAGGTCTGAGCCTACATAACAGATGGGCTCAAATGGTCATTGACCTTCATAATAGGCTATAGCACACAGCCACTCCCCACTCAGGTGACAGCTGGAGGATTTACTCACTCATTTTCCACGTCATCTATGGTATCAGGAAGAGGAAGGTTCTTGGTTTCTGGGAGGGGGAGGACAAAGAGTCCAGCAAGAATGGGGAAGACTCCATAGGTAATCCAGGGCAGGAGGGGAGAATACCTCATTAGGGTCATCAACAGAGGAGCCAGTGCTGCCCCAATCCCACTGGCCAGTATACAGAGGCCTGTAACTGTTGACCTTGGAGCGAAAATAAAAGACAAAGAATCTTGTATAAATCTGCACATGGAAGTTCTTATTTGTCATGTTTAGTCAGTATGGGAGACAAGACAACACACTTATTAAACTCATGGGCTTTCACAACGAGCTCTTAATTGTGACATTTAACTGCATTGGTCTCAATGTTTGATAGTGTTATGTTGATAACAGCTCCAAATCCCTATTTATCAGTATTAAAATAGAGATACCCATGGCACCAATCCAGTAGTTATTATCATTAAATAAGATAATGCATTAAAGCAGTAGTCCCCAACCTTTTGGGTAGCAGGGAAGTTTCATGGAAGACAATTTTTTCATGGACAGGGGGTGGGGGACATGGGATGGAAATCAGGAGTGGATGCAAGTAATAGGGGGTGGTTTAAATACAGATGAAGCTTTGCTTGTTTGCCCACCTGCTACCCTTCTTCTGTGTGGCCCCATTCCTAGCAGGCCATAGGGAGGTACCTGTCCTCAATCTAAAGGTTGAGGATTGCAGCATTAAAGGACTTGGCACACAGTGAGACAGAAACTTAACATGAAGAATTGTTTGTTATCATTTGCTGTCTTCGTTTCTGTTATAATTCATTTTCAGACACCTAAGCAGTCGCAGTTTTTTTCTTCACAGGAAAGTTAACGTGTTCAGAAAGTCCTTTTTTGAAACCAGATAGATGTTCTTTATCTCTTATACCTGAATACGGTCGGGGTGAGCTCAGGTTGGTGGACTGCAGAGATGGTACTAGCAGCAGAAGCAGCACCAGCTCCCAAAGAGGCTAGAGCCACACGCAGGGTCTGCAATTCTAGCAAGAGGAGGATAGTGAGAGTCGGGAGATCTTGGCTGAAGAAATCTGCCAACCCCTAGTAGTTGTAAAAAAATTCTGTTGCAGAACTTCGCAAGTGTGAAATATGTGGAAGACATACTGTAGCATACAGGAGATTAGGGACTGGTGAGTAAAATAAGAAGTATAGACCATAGAATTCTAAGAGCTTAAACATTCAATAGGAGAATTTAAATCAGTTGCTTCAACTCTCCCTGACCTCATTGAGTACTGTCAGTAAAGCTGGATATATTAGTTTTATTCATTCTTTGTAATACTTTCTCTGCACTTTCTCCAGGGCTTAGAACTGTGGCAAGTATTGCACCATATAGTAACAAAAGGACTGGGTTGATTTGGCAGTGGACAGTGTGAAGACACAGAGTTCTTGAATAAAATTCAGATTTACAAACCTCACATTAGTTCTCCTAGTAGGAAACAAATAATGTCATATTGGGAAACACTGACTAAATGAAAACTTTAAAAGGCACTTATAAAACTCAGTACAAATAATCAATACAGGACTAAAGCAATGGTGAAATATCTCTTATATGGCAGCAACATTGTGTAAAAAGGTGTGGAGCCCACTAATTTGGAATCCTGCCACATGTGTTCTAGCTCTGGGAGAAAGATGAGGGAGGTGACCACTGAAGTTTCCCTTATGACTGCATAAGGTCATTCTATGAATTTAGACACGTGGATTCTAGGAGAGGTTGGGTCAGTTAACATGATTCATGTTTAGGGACAGATTATAAAAAAGATGGAGACATATGAAGATGAGACTTTCCCCCTGTTCCTACTGTACACTGCTTTTCTGCTTGAGGATAAGAGATTTTTATTTCATGGAAGTCAAAAAGCCTGTCCTATGACAGGTATGGTGGCTCACACCTGTAATCCTAGTACTCTGGGAAGCAGAGGTGGTTGGAGTGCTTGAGATCAGGCACTCCAGACCATCCTGAGCAAGAGTGAGACCCCATCTCTATTTAAAAAATTGTCTGTAGCCTCAGTTTCTTAGAGAGACTGAGGTAAAAGGATTGCTTGAGCCCAGGATTTTAAGATTGCTGTGAGATATGACATCATGGCATGCTAGTCTGGAGCAATAGAAAATAATCCTGTCCTAGCAACGTGCTGGATTTTGGAGATTTAATGACAAACTCAAAAGTGAAATATAGGAATGAGGTGTGGACAAGTAGGGCTGCCTTAAATATCAGAAAAAGTCCAAAACAGAAGAGGTGAGAGCAACATGCTCCTGGTCAGGGATACAATCGTAGTTCCCAGTTGCTCCATGGTTGTTGGCATCTAAGTGTGAGTGGGCATAAGGTATGTGGTTAGTTATTCTTATAAAGAAATTCTTGTAAAGATGTTCATATTCATCTTGGATGAAGACAACCCTGTGTCTGAACCACCCCTTCCTTACTGGTTCAATGAGATCCTACATCTCGCCCACAACTTGTCAGAATCAGTTTTATATCCACATGTTAATTTCAGGGAACATTTTGGTGCTCAATGACATTACATTCTTTTGTCACCAGGTAGTAAGACCAATGTATCTCTGAGGAATGGGGGAAACCACAGTCCTTCCCTAATCTCCTATTTCTCTTACCTTGATTCAAAAAGGTGTTGACCAGAATGGACAGTCCTACCAGGAACAGGAACAAGACCTGGCTTGGTCGACGACCCATATGATCCAGTGTCCAAAGGGCAACAAATCTACCTATGAGTGCAACAGCTCCAAAGAGAACCTGGAACAGGTAGATATTCCTCCCGAAGTGCTGCAAGTTGAGTATCAGGCCATTAGAAGGCACAGCAGTTGCCAATCTGAAGTCAGTGAAAGGAGTAAAAACATTTTAAATAAGATCTGATGACTCATAAGCAGTTTCTACAATTGGGAAGGTAAGTCCTGTCTTGACAATTACTATCAATTGATGGTAATATTGGCCCAGATGGCATTTGGTCAGAAGAAATAGGTTCATTTTCTTTCACAGAATATTTGTTTGTTAAGCAACGATATTAAATGAAAATCAAATTATTAAGGAAGATGATGTGAAAATGGGTTCTACATGTCATAATATTTACATGGGTTCTCCCCCCAAAGTTATCAAATAGGCACATATTCTAGTGCAATTATAAACAATTCATGAAAAAAAAGTAACACAAAGTCTGAGCTCATCACCACACTGAAGGGTATAAAGGTTTGGACACAGAGGTTGATTGTGGAAATTACAGAAATTGTTTTTCAGTAGTTCAGCATTGTGTGAATCTCTCTTCTCAGCTCCCGTATTGAGAACTTTTCCTCACCTACTCATAGCGAGTGAGGCTGCAAGAACACTATAGGGTGGAGTTTGTCATGTGTTTTCTGGATTTGTTTCAGTAGTGGCCTGAAATTTCTAAGCACAGTGAGAGCTGGAAACTATGGGTAATTTGTGTCAAGCATAAGAATTGAAATAAAGTGTTTAGGAGGTAATTATCCTTCAAGGTATATAAGGTATATGGGTATGAATGGGTATGTTCATAGGTTAATATACCCTCTGGAAGAGATAGGTGGCTTGGAGTTTGTTTATTAATTGTTGAGAGGGCTAACATGGCCCCATGCACACCCTCCCCTCCCTTCCTCCTAAAACAAAGAACACAAAGTGGGCAGTGCCTGTGGCTCAAAGGAATAGGGCGCTGACTCCATATGCCGGAGGTGGTGGGTTCAAGCCCAGCCCAGGCCAAAAACTGCAATAATAATAAAAAAAAAAAAGAACACTAAGTACCTACTCAGCCCCACCCCTGAAATTACTGCCAAGGGAGCCTAAAACACTACAGCTTTCCAGGCAAGCTGTGGGATTTTCCCACCCTCTATGGCCACCCCCAGAGGAGTCTCTAACTGCTCCCAGGCATTAATACCATCTATGCCCTGCCCAGACGGGTCCCTGTGCCTTTCAATAAACTTGGCCTGAGCCTCTATGCTACTGCTCTCATCTCTGGGTGTCGCTGTACCCTTTTACTTTAATTATTAATTTATTGTTGATTAGTAACCTATTTGTGGGAAGAGAGAAAGAGAAAATAGTATTGGGGAGTAAAAAGTGAATGCTGTTAGGGTAATATGTAGCTCAGTTTGCAGGACCTGGAAAGAGACCTAGAGAGAAAATGTCTGCAGTAGTCAGAGGAAATGTAGTTCCTACATCACTAGAAATGGTGTAAAAGGCCAAAGGGTTCCAGTGAGGCCTCCAGAGTATTTACACAGAAGCATCCATGAAAGATTTTTCACATCTACAGTCAGACCTTCCTTCCTGTTGGGTCTTCTCCTTCCCCACTCTGAGTGTGTAGAATCTGGAAACCTGGCCCACAGGCTAGCAGTGGAGAAGAAGCACAACCTGACCAGATGGAGAAACAGCCCACAATACCTTCCTGGCTTATCCATCCCCACCGCATCCAAGGTCAGCTTGAACTTGGTAGTCAGAGCAGCTCCAACTCTGAATGAAGATCTGAGGTGTAATTTTTTTAATTAGCTGAAATATATTCATTACTAAAATTAGGCTATTCTTGTGAATGAAAGGATGGCAGGTTTTGTATTACTGAAAAGGAGAATATATGTTTATGGCTTGTTAGAGGTTTCATCTGGGGATAACAAAAGAGCCAGAGCACAGGTTTAAGAGAAGAGTGAAAAGGGGTGAGGTAAAGATTATCCTTATGTGATCAAACCTTATGTATTCCCATTATTCAAGGTTAATTGTTATTGTTTTTTCCAAATTAAGCAAGGGTCCTTTATTGATCAGCTGGGCTGAGAGCAGGCTCATATAAAGCTGATAGGAAAGAGAAAATTTGTATTTTAGCAAAACTTTGTCTAATATAGAAATTGAACATATAATCAACAATTTTGTAAAAAATAATTTCAAGCCACAATAGACTTACTCTTAAATCAGGACAAACATTTAAGGTGGAAATATAAGTAATTCATGAGAATAGAAAGTCCAGAAATTTCATATACTCATACATAGTTGACTGGTTAATATAAAAATTGCCCCAATAACTAAATAGGGAAACAATGGTGGCTCAGTGCCCATAGCTCAATGATTAGGGCACTGGCCACATACACTGGGGCTGGTGGGTTCAAACCTAGCCCAGGCCTGCTAAACAACAATGACAACAACAACAAGAGTTGCTGGGTGTTGTGGTGGGTGCCTGTAGTCCCAGTTACTTGGGAGGCTGAGGCAAGAGAATTGCTTAAGCCCAGGAGTTTGAGATTGTTGTGAGCTGTGATGCCATGGCACTCTACTAAGAGTGATATGGTGAGACTCTGTCTAAAAAAAAAAAAAAAAAGCAAAAAAGAAACAATGGCTTTTCCACTAAATGGTAGTGAGTGAATTGACAATGCATTTGGAAAATGTAAACCTAGAATCCTGTAGAAAAGTTAATTTGAGCTGAGTCATAGATAACACAAATGTGAGAGATGAAAAAGATTTGGGGAGAAAACATAGACAAATATCTTCATAGATGTGGGGTAGCAAAGATTTCTAAAACAGGATATCAGAAGTTTCAGGATATTTATAAAAGAAAAGAGTGATTGGCAGACTTTATAAAAATTGAGAAATTTAGGTTGTTAAAACACATCATCAGTGAGTGGAAACATTGTCCACAGACTGAGAAAAGAAGTTTAAAGTATACATCTACAAATGATGTAAATGAAAAAGCAACAATCTGATTAAAATGGATGAAGTCTGGGAAAGATAGAGGAGTCTTCATCATCAGTCATCAGAAAAATGCAAATTTATATCACAATGTGCTAACATTTATGCCCCTTGAAGTAGTTAACTGAAAGTAACTCACAGTAATTCATATTGTTACATACTAGTGCCTTCCCTAGTACATAGGGATTGTACTAATGTGTGTCAGTATGGAATGACCTGAGTTCTTTACATTTGATAATGTATAGTTGTACATTCACTTTGGAATACTATTTGGTAGGTTACTATGGAGAGATGTACAAATGCCTTAAAAACCAGGACGTACAAATGCCTTAAAAGCTACTGGCCTGTAAGTGAGAAAAATCCATAATTCATGAGAAGCACTGTGGATAAATAACTTATGGTATATTTACATAAATGACCTACAATCAAAGAGTCAAATTACAGCTATGCAAAACAAAATTGGTGAATTTTTCATATTTAGAAGGTGTATATATAATATGATTCAATTCATACAAAATTCAAGATTTGCAAATATAAACAATGGGAATAGATGTAACAAGAGTTGGTACATTTGGACAAGAATTAGTTTGGGAGAAAGAGAGATGTAAGAGATGATTCAGAAATGTTCAGAAATAGAATTAGTTTGGGAGAAAGAGAGATGTAAGAGATGATT